ATTACTTTTGGAAGACCTTCACCATCTTTCCTTTTCAGTCATTTTTTACCAGTTAGTACATTCTTCTTTCTAAAACTTCACTAACTTCTTGGACTAGGTTCCTGACTGTAAAACCAGAAGAATGCACCTCTTGAAAAATACGCTGTTGGCCACGTTAGACCGTGCTAGATTCAAAAAAGGGAAACACTTTTTGATTAACATAATCAATTTATGAAATTGTACTTCAATTTTTTTTTTTTGGCAGCAGATTCTGAAGATTTTTATCTTGCCTAAAAGCCTAAAAATTAAGATACAACTGGTACATCTAGACTGTAGAAATTCTTTATTAAAGAAAAAATTTTTTCTCTGAAAATTATGCATTTTAAAGAAACTTAAAATATTATACGTTACTGGCAAAACATTATTAATTTTTGTCTTCACTCTAACTTTTTGTTCATCTCGCTAAGATAAACGTATATTACTCTTATGAATCATATGAGATAAACTTTTGAATGAAGTAAAAATATCAATATCTCGGCACCGTCAAACAGAATTATAACTTTCAAACCAGACGTTGAACGAGAGTTGTGTATTCATTTTGCACTTTGGCACAGTCTAATCTGGCTGTTAACGTGCTTTTCGAGGTGCTCTTTGTTGTTTTTGCAATCTTTGACTTCATTTTACTACAGGTCAACAAAGTTTTAAAAAAAAAGTTTGAAAAACTTGAAAAACTGGCTAAAAAAGGTGCGAATTGAAGTGGAGTGACCTATTTTGAGTTTTCGCAGTTAGGTAACTATCAGTGAAAATCTTTGCCGATGCAAAAAGTTTTAAAGTAGTCGGTGTTGTTTTGGAATCGTTACTTGAAAAACTACCACAAACACTTATTACTGTTACTTTGCTGGCCTTTTACGGTTAACAGTTCAAATCACAAAACAGTTCTGTTTTTTTGTAAAAGTATGAAAGCTCATAAATAATGTAAAGCTTTTTTGGACGTGTCAAGAACCATTCTCATACAGGTGAATTTTTCTTTAATAAGCATTATCGTAAAAATTAATTGGTTATGAAGATAACTTATAAAAAGAACTTAGCAAATTTCTTTTAATTAATTGCATGAAAAATGCATTGGCAAATACAAAACTTTAATTAATAAATAATACTGGTTTATAATCTTCAAAAAGTTGCTTAATTCTTTACAAAAACCAATTTTGCTTCTAAGAGAGATGGCGACAACTGGTGGGCAGTAAAGTTTAGAACTTATTAGAAACTAGGAGCTTTTTTGCTGTCCAGTGGTCTATTTTCTAATTTTATCAAAAGCTTTAAACTATTTAGAAAAAAAAACTATCTTTTTTAAAGGAAATCTGCGCATGAAATGCTAATATTTTAATATAATTGTCAGTTATAAATGTTGAATTTTCGTCATCGAAAGTGAGCTTAAGCTTATTTTTGTTTTATTACCAAACCGGTATTTCTTTTAGTACCTTAGCATTCTAACAAAAATAGGCATGAATTTCCAAACAAATCTATTTCAACAAGCATGATCACTAACTGTTTTCTATAAGGTCTTTAAAATTATCGCAAATTTGTGAAGAATTTTTTTTTTAGACGGTTTCATTCCGTATTTTTCGCATTCTTTTAAAAAACATCTCTCCATATTACAGCTATTCATCAAAGAACAGATATTGATTGTTCATTGGTCTTAACAGTAATGGTACCACCAAAACAAAAGTTTATTAACAGTTATGCAAATAATCGGTATGATCATTGAACATTGACTTCAGAAGCTGTTTATTTTACAAATGCATTGAAATCAATCAAACTACCTGTAAACCATAATTTATGGACCTATTTAAAAAAAAGTACGGAAAATGTTTACTCGTCAAAATTATTTGTGGCTAATAATAATCAGCATTCGTCAAACAAGTTTTTTTTTATACTAAAGTGGGCTTGAATGTTATCAGCTGAGACTACCAATATGATAAAATTTCAAAATACAAAATTTTTATTGAAGAGCTCAATAAAAAATGAAACCTCATTTTACAACTTTCTCAAAATTGTTTCAGATTCGCTTACTAATATTATCAATTTTATTACCAAGTCTACTTGGTGACAGACTATACAGTTTGTATTTTATGCAGTTGAAACTAAGTTAACAAATATGACTGCTGAGCACGATGCTACCGTATTTTCTTAGCCCTTATACTAGTGAAGTGCTTAACGAAAATATCTGAATCGCCGTGGTACCCTGAACCTTATCAATAGCATATAATTTTAAAATTGGTAGTTTTGTTGTACTCCTTACGTAATGAAAACAGCATAGCTGAAATGCACACTGAATTAAGTACTGTTCATTTGTGTACAACTTATGTTTCTTTTTTTTCGCGAAAACATACAGTGAATTACCGCCAAGTAAGTGCACTAAATTAAGCAGTTTATTTAATAAAAAATGTAAATTTAGATGGAATTTTAATTAGAGATTAACAAAAACCAGTAATACACAAATCATACACCAAACGGTTTGGAAGAAAACCGTTAATACACTTCTAATTTTCGTTTGCGGGAGGGAGTAGGAGGGGGGGGAGAGAAGAATCGTGAAAAAGACTTTTTTTTTACCATTCTGCGCATCGTATAAATTTAGGAATTCTGTCGCTCAAACTGTCCTTATTCAGTAAAAGGTGTAACAGTTGCTGTTGGCAGTTACTACACTGAAAAAACTTTCCTAGCTTCTACACTACTGATAATAACAGTTTTACATCAGCAGCAGAGGGTTACAAAGGCTAATTTTAGACACTGATGAATGCTTTAAATTGCTTACACTTGAAATCTATAGAAAAATTACGACATCAAAACAAAAAATTTATCCTGAATAGGTTTTTTGCTACTTTTTTTTCACAAGTAGAAAAAGCGGAATAAGGCAGAAAATAGAATTACCGTGTTTATTAATGCATAAATTGCTCAGTGCGATAAAAAAGTCAGTGCCTAAAAAGACCTTTCTAACCTGTGATTTGAAAAAAGGAAGAAAACATCAAAAAGCAACATGGCTCAATCGTTGACGTACCTTAGAACATTAAACGGATAGAGAAGCAAATATAAACGTGCTCTGAATCATATTATAATATGAATAATAAGCACCATCTGCTGCTTTCGGTGCTGTAAAATGACTGGAAATATTGACTGGAAAGATGTGCTAGAACTGTCGTTAGAAGAAGTTTCAGAAACTACACTGTCTATTGGTAGCCAAAGAGATACTTTTGCTTACAATATTGAAACCAACAAAAAACTCTTTGTTCAACTAAATTCATGATAAAAATAAGTTGTTTGTGCAAAAAACTAATCAGCAAAAGCCAAAACAGCGTAATGCTTGAATCCAATTTGCTCAACATAACTCTCGCTTCTACCTGCTTAAAAAACTATTTTAGTGATATAGTATCAGAAATACCTTTAAAAAAGGCCCGATTTTCAATTGCTTTACAAATGGTGCAGTCTTTGTAAAAATCCCCAAGTACAAATAAAAAAGCGTTGTTTAGCCTTCTCACACATTTTATCAGTTTTCTTCCGTTCTGCTTAATTCTAATCAAGTCATTTGAGCTAAATAATTACTTAAAACGTTGGTACTTAGAATGAACTTCTGTTGGCCAAAAAAGTATTTTTGGTTACAATTTCAAAGTCAACAGAAAACCTTTTGTTTTATTAAATTCATTATAAAAGTTTAAGCAAGTTAAATTTCTTCTAATGATTCTTACAGTTCAAAATTTTCTTCTAATCTTAATTCAGTAGAAGCTCTAAATCTTTAAAACTTTGATTTACATCAGGTTCAAAGATTTTAAGATTACTTTTCAATATGTGTATGTTGTTT